GGGGCCTCAAAGTGGCCTGAAAAACCCTGGCCCCCAACTGGATTATCCTCCAGGCTCTTCAGGAAGACCTCCATCTGCAGAGCCTGGGAAGGCAAGAGGGGACTCCTGCACCCTGGACTCCTGTGAGCGTTGGTGCCAGTCACTGCAGACCCCACTCCCCAGAACAGGACATCTCTCCTTGGGCTGTAAGGCAAGCCTAGCACCAAGGCCACTGGTACCAGAGGTGACCACACCTGCCTCAACTCTCCCGGGAAGCCGTGAAGGCTGATCCTGTGGCCGCATCCCAGCCCGGCCTTGGACGTGAAGATGAAATGAGCCACCAGAGTCTGAGAAAGGTATTATCCCTGGCCATTTTCTAGTGAGAAAATCGAGGCCCACCCAAGAGGAGGGAACTTCTCCAGCCCCTCCAGCGTGGAGCGGAGCACTCGGCTGCCCCGGGGCAGCCTGGCACCTGGCTCGCTGAGAGAGGCAGATGGTGTGGGGGGAACGTGAGCAAGTTTGCTCCTGTGCCGGCTGCGAGGTCTCCGGGGCCCTGCGGGTCTCAAGGCAGCCAGGAGCCGCTCTCTTTTTTTAGTGAGAGGAGCTCTCATCTTCCGCTGCGTTGCCTTCCCGCTGGCTCGTGTCTCATCTTCCTACAGACAAGGTTTCTCACAGCTTCTGGCGAGGGGGCAGGCACTTTTGACATGCACTGAGGGAGAAAGTTTACAACTGCAGAATCGTGAGCGCAAAACTTCCCCGACCATCTGCAGCGACGCCTCTGTTTGTTGGGCTCTCCTGGTGGCCGTCAGTGTTCAGACTTTCTCTGTCTTCACGCCTGAGAGGGAGGGGGATTATCAGCTTTTCTCAGAGGTTATTCATCAATTAAATGGCAAGTGAGTTTCCTGTCAGGGAATCACTGAGTATGAACCCCCAAATCAGACTCTCCTCAGGTAGAAATCCCAGCTCGCCTGTTTGGCCATTTTTTTTTAAGTTTTCCCAAACTTTCCCTCTGTAAAAGGGGCATTTTAGAGCTGTTCAGTGAGCAAATGCCTGCCAATGCCAGGAACATAGTAGGTGCTCAACAAATGATTATTATTACTGCATAATTTTTAGTGAAGTGTAAGAGCACCTTAAGGTTGAATCTTAATTATATAGCAATGGACTTTGGTTGTTATTTTATTTTTCTTTGGGTGCTGAGGGAAGGCACAATGGGGAGCAGTGACTATTAACACACCCCTTGCCTTCAAGAGTGATTTCCAAAGGAAATAGGGACGGGTTGGGGTGAGGTCCAGAACTCTTGACCCCTCCGAAAAGCCCAGGTGACCTCGATATCTCATGCGGAAACCAAGGCCCTCCTTCCTCAGTGGAAAAGAGAGGCCAGTGATAAAGCAAATTTCCCCTGTATTGTCCCTAGAGGAGTGCGCCTCGGGGAGATTTATTGTTCGAAGCCTTTAGCCTCGAGCTTAATTTTAAAAGTATGTCTTTCCCCAGAAACAGAGACTCTTTTAAACGTCACAGGTGCCCCCAAGCTCTGCTGGGAAGACACCCTGGAGTTTCATTTAATACCCATCTCAGTCCTGGAGGCGAATTCTTTATTCCATCCCTCTGAGAGCAGATGAGCCTCCTCCTCTTTTGTGTCAGCCCCTGTGTCAGCCACCGTGTGGGCGAAGACAACTCATGAGGGGTGAAGCATGAGCCAGGGCCTGCCCTGAGCTCAAGAGCTCTGGGGCTTGGTTCCTTCACACCTACTAATACGTGAACATATGGGCATCAGGGGCATGGCCTGCCTGGCACCCTACCCTGGGGGGCTGTGTTAGTAGGAGTCCCCCAGGAGTCAGCTCCCAGCCCAGGGGTGGAGTAGAGTGGTTTCTGGGGACACCTGGGAGGGCCATGGAAAAGTTAGCCCAGATGGGGCAGTCACTCAGAAAGGGCCTGTTACCAAGGAGGAGAAAGGGCCTGTTACCAAGGAGGAGACTTCTGCTGGGGGACTTGGGGAGACAGATGAGCACACACCCTCCTGAGTGATCCATGCCAGGAGGAGGAGCTGGGGTGTTTATCCACCAGCTTCCTTTAGTCATTGGTTACGGGCTCTCCCTGGATGCATCAATTGTCTGGTACCTCAGCTCTGCCATGTGGTGGGCAGGAAGGACTTGGGGGTCAGAGAAAGCCCCCAGGCACAAAGAACAGCAGGCCTATGTCCTTGAAGTAGCCAAGGCCAAGCAGATGGGGCGACCACCATTGATAATGGTGACCAGAAGTTGAGCCTTTGGCTTTTGCCTTGTTCTAAGTATTTCCTTCGCCTTTAAGTCAGAAATGCCCTGTGCTTGGTCCCGAGGTGATGCAGCGATGCAGCTATTATGATCAAGTTCTGTGCTTAGGAAGCTCACAACTTCCTAAATTGTGAGTCCATGAAATTAGAATGCTAAACAAGATGTGCACCCCTCTTGCCAGGCTATGCTCTAAGCACTTACCTTGATTAATTTATTGGGTCCCCACAGGAACCCTACAATGTGGATACTTTTATTATCTGTATCTTTGTGAGATGAAGAAAAAAATTGTAAAGTTTTAGCTAGTCCATAGCAGAGTCAAAATGTGAACCCAGGCTAGCTGTTACCAGATCCCCGTGCTTATCACGTACATCATATGCATCCCTCTACATCTGTCAAGATTCCCTTGCAAGCAGAATGGTTCTGAGATGTCCTGTGCATTCTGGGATGTGTAGCAGCATCCCTGGCCTCTATCTGCTAGTAGAGCCCCTCCTCACATCCTTCTTCCCTCGCCTCCTCCCACAGACTCCCCCAGTTCTGACAACCACAGGTGTCTCCAAACATTGCCAAACATCTGCCTGGTTGTAAGTGGCCCCAGTATTTCTTAGGAAGAGTTCATAGGATGCAAATGAAAATGCCTTTCTTCTAGATTGCTTCATCTTTTTTCCTATGCAATAAGAAAAGATGCCGTATTCTGGAGTTGATCATGTCTGTCAATCACCAGCCAAATAACTTTCAGTGCAGAGAAAATGGAAGCAGGAAAGAAGTTATTGAAAAGTAAGGTTGTGTTAATGCATCTGAGTCGTGAACTTGCCGGTCTGGCTCACACACTGTGGCGTGCCCTTTGAACAGGCTGTTTCCATGGTTGTTTAGTTTAAATGTCTTGCAACTTGGTTGAGAAATTAGTGAAAACCCCATTAGATGAGAATGGACAGCAAGTTCCTATGGGATTTTTGTTATTGTTTTCCATTTCCCTGGGGCTATTTTATTCATGACTTTTTTAATAGTTCTATTTCGAACCCCTCTCACCCAAGTAAATAAATCCCTTTTCTCTGTCACCAGCCTAGAGATTCCAGGCTTTATTTTTCAAATCCTCCAAACCCATTTTTATCCGTGTAGCTTCTTAGAGCCGGTCAAATTTGAAAACTGATCCTTGAGATTTGGGGGTGTTTTGTGTGAGGACAATAGCCATAACTTTGGCATTAACATGTCCTCATTTGTCTCCTTTCTCTTTTTTTTTCTGGCAAAAACACTCTTTAATTCAACGTCTTCCAAATTTGGCTTTGTAGCTAATCTATGTGATTGGAGAAGTTTCATTGTAGTGTTGGAAGCCTGAAGAATTCACTTTTTCAATTGGTGATGAAAGCATAATCTCATGATGTTGAAGCATTCTTTAATAACAAAGCATCTCTATGTGCCTCTGGCTAACATACTGAGTGGTACTTTGTTAATCTGCTTACCCTTGTCTGTGACCAGAGCTTTTGATGGCCCCCAACCCTGCTCAGGATAAATAATCACATTTATGTCTTAAATTCTGTTTGGGTGTTATTTGTGAGAGATGAAATGCCACAGTGGGCCAGAGTGTAGATTGTGGGATCAGACAGAACTGGATTTCCCAGGTTCTACTACTACTTCATGAGATTAAGCAAGTGTAGCAGGTAGAATGATGGGGTTACCTCAAAGATGCCGGAGCCCTGATCTCTGAAACTTGAGCATGTGTTACCTTGCCTGGCAAAAAGGACTTTGCATATATGATAAAATTAAAGATCTTGGGGTGAAACATTATCCTGGACTATTTGGGTTGGTCCAGTATCATCCTAAGAAGGGGATTGATCTTCTGTACTGGAAGATGTTGTGTTGTAGCCTTTGAAGATGGAGGAAGAGGCCACAAGCCAAGGAATTCAGGAAAATACTAGTAACTAGAAAAGATAAGGAAGTGGATTCTCTCCGAAGGCTGCCGATGGACCACAGCCTTGCAAACCTCTTGATCGTAGCACATTTTGGGCCACCATGGGCCCATTTTGGACTTTTTGGCCTTCAGAACTGTGATATAAAGACTTTGTATTGTTATGAAGCAACTGAGTGTATGGTTATGTACAGTAGTAATAGGAACCTAGTATAACAAGCAACCTACTCTTTCTAAACCACTGTCTTGTCATTTACAAAGTTTTTTCTCATTGGCCTATTGTGATGAATGAAAGAGAAATGTGCTTGGCATTGGGTCTAGCATAAAGTACATACTTAAAGGTACCTACTGAGTCATAGGCTTTTGACATTGTCATATTGTCGCATCTTCATCATGCTGCCTACTATCAAATTTACCAAATACCCATCCATGGTGGTTAATTTTATAGTTTTAACCTGGCTGGGGTGTGGTACCCAGTTGTTTGACCAAACACTAATGTAAGTGTTGCTGTGAAGTTCTAGCTCCTGATATTTGGATGTGATTAACATTTACAATCAGTTGACTTTAAGTAAAACAGATAACCTTCCAAAATGTGGTGGTCCACACCCAATCAGTTGAAGATGCTCAGAGCAAAGATGGATTCCTAGGGGAGAAGTCATTCTGTCTCAAGATTGTCACATCGAAGCCTGAGCTTTCCACCCACTGGTCTGCATTGAAGATTCAGACTCCACATGGCAACATTAACTCATACGTGGGTTTCCCACCTGCCACATGTCCTACAAATTTTGAACTTATGAGCCCCCATTATAGTGCAAACACATTGATTAAAATAAATCTCTCTTTTCTAGCCCATTGCTTGGGTTTCTCTGAACAACCCGGAGAAAGACATCATCCAATTCAAATGCAGTGCATTGCAAGATTTAAGATTTTGAAAAGGGAAGATGCAGTTCTAGTAAGTACCCAAAACTAAACTTTCTCTCTAATTTGCTAAGAACTTTGTATTTTCTCATTGACATTTAAAGGGACTCTACCTTGGTGCTTCCTTTCTTTCACCTTTAAATTAAAAGTGTGCAATTAGGGTGAGGGTAATAATGGAATCACAAAGACTATCACAGCAAAAGAGTTGGGTGGTTCTGTGACATCCTTTGTAGTGGGGTTTGACTTTGAACTTAAAGTAGTTAATAATCAATAGGATGGTCGCTATTGCCTTTCTAGTCTGCATATTCCTCCTTCCCGAAGGCCCTCTGAATGCCTCCTACCCTGGCCTGTGCTGCCCCCCTAAGGCTTCTTACGGTCAAGCAGCTAAAGGGTTAATGCCTAGACATAAAAGTACTTCTGATTGGTTGGTGCCAGGGCTATATTGGTTATTGATTATTTTGGTATTGCTTTTACTTAGACGTAAAAGTTCATGAAAAAAACACAATGAAGGATTGTCCAAGTTGTAAATGTGCAAAGGTGCAATTTCAGTATATTATCAGTTTAAAGAAACAGCAGGTGAAATTCCTCATATTTTACTTCTCTTGGATTTTGGAGGGGATTTCAAAGTTTCATTTCAAGTCATTCAACAGGATTACTATATTATGGCTTTTGTTTACTCTTTTCTTTAACAGATAGGAGACAAGTGTGACTAATTTTATTGGACAAATATTTAGATTTCCTCCTCTGAAGATATGTCTCCCGGTCTCGCTAGCTGATGTGCATTTACTTCTTCTCTATAAATTACTTTGCTCTTGGCCTTGGAAGAAAAGACCAACTTCTTCTTACTGTTGGACTTCCTTCCCCCAATTTCACAGAGAAAGTCATTTGCCAAACACAAGGATTTGATCAATAAACAACTAGCAATCCCCAGGAGGCCTTTCAAGGGATTAGAATTGTCAAACACTGACTCAGGATTTGTTCTGGTAGTTGTTAAAAATTACATAAACATAAGTTTTTTTCAAACTTCAATCAACCCAAGAGTCGGTAGTAGAAGACTTGACCCTGTTATTGATTACTTGCTATAGATGCTCTTCCAAAGAGAGTTAATCAACAAGGTGTTGACAATATCAGCAACATCTTGTATCTCTTGGAAATTTTGCTTCTAGTTGTAGAAGCAACTAGATCTTGTACCACCGCCCCCCACAGGAAGCAATAGAGGTGCGCTTTTGTGAAATGCACCCAGTTTTCTGGGAGCCTGTGGGTTATTCCTGTCCCCAAACTAAGTGCTGTAGGACAATAAAAGCACTAATAAGCCAGGATATAAAAGGTATCCCCTAAAAACACTCCAAATGGAGTCTCCTGATGATAAAAATCTCTGACATCCTGTTAGTCTAAATTCCTAGCACCTAAAACAGTACTGGCCCAGAGTGCTTGGGAAATATAGGCCAATTCGGAACATGCCAGGGTTATGCTCTGTGTATAATTTGATCTCTCATATATGTTAAAGTTCATGAGAGGAAAATGTAGTTTAGAATAAATTTTAAAAATTGCCAATGAGAATTATTTAGTTGTTAATAGATACTGAGGGTACATAAGAAGAAAACATGACTCATAGATAATTTATGTTGATAATTATTTTTAAGGGAAATTTAATATAAAATCAAAGAAAATGAGCCACATTGCTCGATCTTGAGCATATAACACACCAAATCCACAAACATTGTCCTATAAATGTTTAATCACACTTGAGATCCATTACATAAACAAAAAAGATAAAAGATATAATCATTCCCCCCATAAAAAATGAACTCTGTACTCTAGATGGGGAGCTCATAGGACCCCTTCAAACCTTCTAACCTTGAAGGCAGAAATCTTGCAAGAAGATTATAAAAGGGAAGAAGTTATGCAGGCCGAGAGGGATAAGAGGATGGAACCCCACAGCCAGATCTCTCAAGGCCATGTCAACACTGGGACGAGATGCAGGAGCACAGAATGCCAGCGTAGTCCCTTGGAGACCTGCATTTTTGCTGCCTTATGATTATTCTTCAAGTGAGTAAGGAAAAGACAACATATGGACTATATTCCATTATTCATCTTGCTATTTCCAGACCCCATGCCTTCACTCTTTTCTAGCCAAAGATGACATTTCCTGAAATGTGAAATATGGCTTAAGGTGAACTATATCCTTTGTTAGTTCTATAGGTAGACTATGCTCAACATGCAATATTTGAAGTGATATCCTGCATCTTTTGCATTTATTCACAAGAAAATTATAGCTTTTCAGTTCATCTTCATGCCCCTACCTCCTCGAAGATCCTTTAATTTATGTTTGATATGATTTTTGAATGTTGGTTCTTCCTCTTATTTTCTCCAACACCCTCAACCCTGTTTCCTTCTGCTGCTTTTCAGTGCTGCATTCATATTTTCTAACATGTTGATCAGTGACTAGCTGCTTAATCCTTCCATCCTTCCATGCCTGGAAAGTGACGCTCTTTATGTTTTGTGCTAAAGCTGTCCAGCTCCCCATACCCTAGTCCAGCCCCTGGTTTACCCTCTGCCAGCCAGAGGAAGGAAGCGGATGAGCCACTTAATAGAATAAGTAAAGGTGATATGACTTCTTATAATGAAATGGAAAGATAAGTATTTTAACCTGATGGGTCCCTATTTCCAGAGATAAAATATTAACATTTTCTATTAAAAAATTAAAAACAATTTTAATTTGCTCTATGTGTGGGCAAGGACTTTCTGAAGTTTAAAAAAATAATTGAAACCACAAAGGATATATCAACAATTAAAACAAAATCTTTACCTTAAAATGTAACATAAACCCAGGTCTTGAACATGTAACACAGCAAAACCAGGAATGTTGTGCTATGTATGTGAAATCATACTTAAGATCAATTACATAAATAATTAAAGAAAGGATTTTAAAAACTCATTCTTCCTCTACCAGATGTTCTCTGGGCTCCTGCTTGGGGAGATCATTGAACTTTCCAACCTCAAAGGCAGAAACGGCAGAAGGAGATTCTCAGAGAGTAAAGGCGTACTGTTAGCACAAGTACAGTGTATACAGCACCGAAGGTGCGCACATATGTACTACTGGAGAGCTTATGCAAGCCAATTTTTCTTTTTTTTTTAAGGTTCTTCTTTTTTTTTTTTAAGATTTATTTATTTATTTATATAAGCACTGGGTACAGTCAGAAGCGCGGGAGGGTGAGAGGATGCACCAGAGCCAGAGCGGGGAGCAGAGCAGGCAGAAGGACTGAAGTGCACTGCTGAGGGGAGCAGCGGGCGGCAGGAGAGGTCTGCGCGCCATGAGGGACCCTCCTCCGGTGGCCGGGGAGCAGCCGGGGATCGAACCGGCGCTGCAGAGGCTGTGGGCAGCTTCGCAGCCCAGCGCTCAACCGCTGTGCCACCCGGGGAGGCCCATGCAAGCCAATTTTTCAAAACTATGACCTATGGAGAAAAATAGACAGAAGACCAAACACTCCCTTCATGCAAGAGGAAGTAAAAATGGCTAATAAACACTTGAAGGTGTTCACATAGGCATATTAAAATATTAATTCATATTAAGATAAGATCTCTTTATACCTGGTATATAAACAAACATAAACTCTTAAAAAGTCCCCAATGCTGGTGAATATGCCCCAGAAAGGCCAGATACAGATCATTTTTTTTCTTACCATCTCCCTAAGGTGGAGATGCTGTGTGCTTTTCTCTCTCTCCTAATTCAGCTCCCATGGGGACTGCTCTACCCACAGTAAGTTTTAGGACACTTAAACTTCTCTTCTGGGCATCTCTGCCCTTTCTTGCCCTTTCTTGACTTTGACTCTCAAGAGGAGGTTCTTAGTTCTTAAAGCAAGTGGATAGTTTCCTCCCTGGAGTCCTGCCTCTTAAGGTACTACTGATGGTGACCAGTGCACCCTAGTTTCCCTGGGACTCTCCCCATTTGACCACTTAAAGTCCTTGAGAGACGTGCTTAGTCCGGGACCAACTGGAATAACTGGTCTCCCTACTGCCATGTGGAATTAATCAGGAGAGCTGTCTTGTATTTACCCCGGTGCGTTGGTTTCCTAGGGCTGCCTTAGCAAAACACCAAGACCTGGGTGGCTTAAAACCACAGAAATCAATTCTCCCATAGACCCAGAGATGACAGTGCGAGGCCAAACTGTCAGCAGGTGGTGCTCTCGCAGGAGACTCTTCCATGCCTTTCTTTTCCCCACTTCTGATGGGAGCAGCTGTCCTTGCTGTTCCTTGACTTAGGGGTTGCTTCAGTGCAATCTTTGTCTCATGTAGACATCTTCTTCCTGTGTATCTTCACAGCATCTTCCCTCTATGCTGTGACTGTGTCCAAATGTTCCTTTTTAATAAGGACACCAGTCATACTGGATTCAGGCTCATTCTAATAGTCTCGTTTAACCTGGTCCAATCTGCAAGGCCCCGTTTTCCAAATAGAGTCCCCTGCTGAGGTGCTGAGGGCTAGGACTTCAGCATATGTTTGGAGAAGAACACGCTTAACCTCTAACACTCAGTCTTGCATTCTGCAGTCTTGTCCAATAAACTCTCCAGTAAAAGTCATGGACGATGGTAAGCAGAGGGTTGAGACCCTTGTGCTTCATCCAGAAGGCATCAACGAGTCCTTGATGGCTCCCGAACAAAGGCGGGACATGCTGTTAGTGTCATTTTAATAACGTTAATGTGGAAATAGTGTCCATGATGGATTGGCTCATGAGAGAAGCTGGTTATTAGGGCCAAGAGAAATCCCCTGGGCCTGGTGCCCAGCTACATCACTGCCTCCTGCTGAGATAAGCCTTTTGTGTAACAGACATCACATACCTCCTCATGCCAGAAAAAGCTTGTAAGGGGAAGGCAGTGTATATATAGACCTAGGTCTCCCCTGAACTACTGTCATGGAACCCTGTTCTGTCTACCCTCTGGGGAAAGACTCCCTTGTAAAATAGAGGAAAGTGTTCCATTTCTTACTGCTTCTTCATGTTCATCCCATAAGCTGAAGTCTTTCTGCCTGCTGGTATC